GTTGAAGTAGAAATCTGTTGAAATGTTTCTTTAAGCAGAGCAAAACATAAGCAAAGAATAGCATTAACTTTTATTTGATTAAAAAAGGCAAAACTAAATCTACCTTTTTGGGTTTGGGAAAATTCAACCCCGAATTGGGGCAAATAGGGCGTGCAGGCTTTTTCAGAAAAAACATACTCGTGATGCCCTCACGAATAGGTGTCTGAGTGTCGCACTAAAAAGCGGCAGGTCACCGATTAAATATTTATTTTATAAACATGTGCTCTAAAATAATGCATAAGATATTATAAATTAAATAAAAAGAAATTTAAAAATAGTTCAAAATCTAAACATAAAAAAAAAAACAACTTTAAATTATATTTATGCATGAGCGAGCTGTTATCAAATTTAAAGCAAACAAATTTACAAATTCAAAAGAACTCCATAAGTCTATTTTGGATACAGACAAGAGATTTCACAGTTGGCATTAAAAATGCCTTAATCTAATAAACAATAGCCTTTATTATAACGCTTAGAAATACAAATACTCGGACGTCAGTTGCAAATATTCGGAATTATGCGAGTGCTCAAGATTTATGAGTGCAAGTCAAGGCCATAAGTTGCTGGCATTTTGCGTCTTTAATTAACTGGGTCTTATTGTTTTTTGTTTTTATTTATTATTATTTTTTTCTTCCATTGGTTAACATTGCTTGCAATTGTTTGCAGTTTTGTGTGAAAGTCAGCGACAGACGTCGGTCGCATGAGTCAAACCGGAGTTGAATGCAAAGTCGTGACGCAGCTAATTAATTTATGACAAAACCAACAAAAAAGGAAAACTCAGCCATGCGACAATGTGAAAATTATAAAAAACTAGAGAAAAAACAAAAACTGACTGCACTTTTTGTGTTGTTTAGGTTATGGTATTTGTATTTTTTGTTGTTGTTGTTGTTGTTGTTGTTGCTTCTTGGCAGTCAGCCGCAAATTGCATAGAAACCAAGCTGAAAGTGGGTTGCACTCTCGCCCAGAATTATCGAGTATTTTGCAATTGTCAGACGTACTATAAGTATTCTCTGCAGCTGTTGTTTTTGTTTTTGTTCTTGTTGTTGCTGTTGTTAGACTTGTTGTTATTTTTGAATCATGCATTTTTAATTAGTGAAATTGCATAGAGTAGAAGAATGCAGCATCTCGACGTGAATTTTGTGTTCGATGCGCAATATTTTACAGACTCTTGTCTAATTATAATTAACCGATTTATTTATGCCACACCAACCAAAAATGTTTTTACATAATACCTTGCTGCTGCAAATTGAGGGCAAAATATCTTAAAAGTGTTTATCAGCAAATATTATGATATTCGTTCAAATGTCTTTTTAGCTTTATTGTTGAATGCTCACTTGAAGTTAGCTCAAATTGAATGCCAAGCATAAGACTAGCATTTAATTAACTCATTTCAATTTAAAGTCATGAAAGGTTGCTTGTATTAAAATTGTTTAATTTAGTTAAAAGCGCAATCTGTGTAATGTTTAGAAGCAACGACAAATATACATTTGTATGTTACATATTTAAATAGAAATATATGTACAGTAAACACTCGCTCAACGAATACTCTAAGAAGTCAGGTATCACTTTTGTGCGAACATGTATATACAGTGAATATACTCCTAATACACACTTATAAGGCGGATAACACTCTTGTGTGCACATTAACTCCCTTTTCTTAGACGAATACTTCCCAATTTATCCGTTGGTCGTGGGAGAGTTTACACTATAGTACAATGTACAAATATATGTGAGTAAGCTATTTAATTGCATATACCTGTGACAAATCCGAAACGGGGGTTCAATAATGAATAAAATGTAATTGAAATTAAAGCTAAGAGCATATATAAGTGTGTTTCAACCCAAATTTATTAATTATTATCAAAATTCAATGTGCCTTTATCGAAATTTGTCTTCAACCAACTGGAAGACCTGTCAACTAGCCTAAATCTTAACTTAACCACAGCTCCGCACATTACAAAGCTTCACATTCTAAAGATACAATTGGTCTAGGCGACAGTTTTCGACTAACGAATATCCACTATTAGTTATTAATTAGATATTCTGGCATTGTTACTGACTCGTTCCACAATTCTATAATACCCGTTATTCGGGCATTATATAAATACAGGGTACATGCAGAGATCCCTTCATTTCATGCTCAATTAAACAAGTCAACACGGATGTTGCTTGTGTACATTCAAAGCTCAACGCTCATGTCAATTGAAAATTTACTGTATTTTTGTTGTTTTTCTTTTTTTTATTATTTGCTACTTGATTTGCATTGCGCTCAAAAAATAAAACGTATTTACATACATGACACAGATGTGTGTATGTGTATGTGCGGATTTGTCAACTTAGACAACGGCAGACAGCAGCGACGCTGGCGTCGGCTCATAAATCACGCTAATCTATAACTATCGATCAAAAGACCAATACATAGAAGACGAAGAGGGGAGGGGGGCGCAGCAGGCAGCAGTCGGCGCTGTTCAAAGTGTCTTGAGAATTTATTGCCTGAATCCTTGTGCAAAGCGCGAATGAAATAAAAATCGAACACAACGAAAAGTGGCCAAAAATAAATATAAAAATAAAAGTAATGCAAAATGAGCAACAATTTTTACAATTTACATTTACATAGGCGAAAATACTTAATTTTAGTTTTGGCCACAAGAAGAGAGGGCGCAATTATTCACGGATGCCTTTGCTTTGCCGTTGCCGTTGATCGAAACTCTGGCCACACTCCGCAAGCATTTGGCAAAGAAAAAATGCTGTCATTTGTTTTTGTTGCTGTTTAACGTATCTCTGCGTGTCTCTCTCTTTGTGTATGTGTGCGTGTGTAGCTGTGTGTGTGTGTGTGTGCTTGTATGCGTTGATGCTTGTTTGTGTGTGTTGCTATTTTTATTATAAATTGTCTGCAGATATTTTTGCCCATTTGCCAATTTTCAACTACACATCATGTAATGTGTAGAAGCACTGTCATCCCGCCTTCGCCAAACCTTCCCCCCCCCCCCCCCCCCCCTTGCACACCATGTGGTGCACCCTTGCGTTTGCCGTTGCGACGCTCTGTCGCCTTATCTGCAGCTTCTGCTGCTGCTGTTGCACCTGTCGCTGCCATTCAGTGCATACATAACTTGGCAACAACAGCGACAGCAGCAATAAATATGCCCGTATATATGTATATACATATATATTTACAATATTTAAATCAAAAGCTGGTCACACTCTAAAATCCACATCAGGCACTTGCTACAAATCGGCTTTTAAGTAATGAGCCGCAAGATAAACGACAGCTTTGGCTAAAAAGCTTTTGACGGCTCAGCACGTGCCTTTTAGCCAGTCGACACTCGACACCCAGCAACATCTCGGCATTTGGCTGAAGTGGCACAGCCGTCGCGACGTTGCCAGACAGCTTTTCGAAGCTGATTTGTGTTTAGTTACTGTAGCTAATGTCGTTGAATAATTGTTGTTAATGACTGTTGAGTGTGATTAAATAAATGAGCTGATATTTACAGTGTTTTAGCGTGTTTTAAACCTCATAATGGGCATACGCTTTTCAAGTTTGAAAGAAAAGCTTAAGATTTGCAATGATACTCGCTTTTTATACAGCTTATATTCGAGTAAACATGCGATAATTATCCAATGCATTGAATCAGATTAGTTAAAAAATATATTTGTTTAGAATATATATTCGAATTTTTACTTTTAATAACATTGAAACATCATATTCAGATCTGAATTAGTTTGAGAATAACACGTTTGATTGTTTGATAGGTCTACGACTTCGGGAGAGAAATTTTACCTCTAAAATACTAATTTCTAATAATTTATATGTATATGGAATATCTTTTCATTCGTATCTTATATTAAATGTCTCCTTTTAAAACATATTTCATAAATATTTCGCTTGGTTCATCAACAATATTATACATTATTTGCATTTCTTTCCGTGCATTTGGTAATCATTCAGTTAAAATAAGCGCTTAATTATGCATGATAAATGGGTATTTTGCATTTTATGCATATTTTTGTTGTATTCAATCAGCTGCTGCTGAAACTGGTTGGGTATATATGGTATATATACAATTTTCTGATATCTGCCACGTTTCTGTTTTTTATGTTTATGTCATTTATTGATGTGTGCCCCTTTTTTATTACTCATATTTGCGGGATGTAATGATTATTTAATAGCCGATGCTTGCTTCGCTTTTTATGACTTTCAATATCATTTTTCGTATTTACATATATTGTGCATTTCATCTCATTTCATTTGATTTCATTCTTCTTCGGTTCGTAATAATGCGTGAAGTGTGGCATGTTTAATTAAAATTTGCATAATAAAAAAAATACCCCCATTAATTTATAATATTAATTACTTTTATTTCCAACCTGCAGCCATTTGTGGGTGTATTTTCATATCTCTCCTCCACATTTTATTGGTTTTAAAAGGTTTCGCAAAATTTCTGTAAATATTTAAAACGGCAAAATTCAATGGAACGCAGTTGGGCCTACATTATTAATACGACTGAACTTTCCATTTTCCATTTAAAATTCAGCCGGATCCGTTTGAGACATATATTGTCCCTTTTTCTGAGTTGGGGAGGAAGATTGTCACGTAAACTGATTCGGTAAAATCCTGTTGACGCTGTCAGCTTAACATGTCGGCTGACAAAACAGTTAACATATTATTATAATCATGGCCAGAGATCCTAACTCAAAAAAGCCAGTTTCAAGCACGAGTCAAGCGTTGAAAAGCCTTTTTACATGAGATTTCAAAATTAAGCTCAATAATAATAAGCTTTAAGAGAAATGCATGCCCAAAAGTCGTTCTTTAGAAGCAACAGCTTTAATACTTTAACTAAGCGCTTTGACTTAGAGAGCTTGGCTGAGCTAGACATTAAAGCTCTTAACAGCTTAAACTCAAACTAAGTGTTACAATAATTGAATAAATATATATAATATTAAAATGTGCACATCTCACTTACCTTTCCTTGCATAATCAGCCTTATTGTGAGTGTCACCGATGGATCCTCAAGTTTGATGGGCGCACCGCTCGCACTGCTGCTTGTGTTATTGTCCTCCATTTTTTGTTTGTTTGTTTGTTTTTTTGTGTTTTCCTTTTATATTATGCTGTCTTTTATATTGATATTATCTTTAAATTGTTGACCGAATGGCGGTCGTTAATATTTTTCTTATTTCTTGTAACTGTTTGTCTTTTAGCTGCGTTTTATAGCTAATGTTGTAAATATACTTGCTTTATGCTATATAGTACAATATATTGTTCATATATGATCAAAATATAATGCACACAGACATCTATTAGATTTTTGGCTAATTTTTTAAGTTTTATTTATTTTTTTATTATGTTTTGTTTTAGTTTCCTTGCAAATTAAATTGGTGGTGTCTTTTACTAGTCGTACTACGTTTTTTAATATATTTTCTTCTTTTTTTGTTGGCTTAAGCTCGCTGCGTTCTTTAAATCTTCGTCTCGTGTGATTTATGCTTATGTTTTGCTTCTTTTTTGGTTTTTCTTCCGTTTAAAAATGCAACATTTAATGACTGCTATAGATTTTGCATCGAATTAATATGTATTTAGGTATACTTAGTATTATTTTAATGTTGAGCAAAAATACTGTTGCTTAGCGTTTGTATTTAGACTTTGCACTGCAAAGAGACAAGAGAACAAAATTTCAATTAGTTGAGAAAAGAAAAGAAAAATGCACGCATTTGGAATACTTTTGTTAACATAAATAATAACTTGAAAAGCAGCTAATTTATTTTGTAAAATGTACGCAATGCATTTAATCAAATTGCTCCTCAGTCAACTCAACTCGAGTCGACTCGAGTCGGGGCGAGTCGAGGCGAGTAGAGTCGAGTCAACTTTCGAGGCATTTTTCTGGCTTCCGGCATTTTGTTGAACGAAAAGATTGCAACAACAAAAACAAGAGACTCAGCACGCATCGTTCATCATAAGGATAGTCTCGTGTGCGTTGCTGTAATTTTTATATGAAATGTGTTTTTATTTTATTTTATTTTACTTTTTTTTTTGCTCGTACACAACTTTGAAACAGCGCCAAGTTTTTATATGCATATTCCGCATACGGGAGACATACGGGAGAGCACACCAATGTGTATAATATCGATGGCCTGCCCCTTGCCCCTTGCAGCTGCCGTCAACGTTGCAGGCATTTCTTACGCTTGAAATCACTTCATGTGCAATTTACACAATATACGAATGTTGTTTTAGTTGGTTATTTTTTTTATTCATTCGCTTACTTTTTCATGTAAGAGCAATGCAAATTCCCAGCATAGCTTTATATGCGGACTTCGCATATGATTCTGAATGTTTTGCCACTGCCAGCAGAATCAACAGCAGAAGCGAACATATTTCCCAAGAGGCAGCGGGCTGAGGCGGAGGGTGGGGACAGAGCTCCAAAATATTTGCGCAGGCCAACGCGATGGTTGCCAACAACTTTCCCAGTTCTGCTAGTTGTTGTTTGTTTCTATTGTTGTTGTTATTGTTGACGCTGTTGTTTATGAAATTATGCGCACTAATTCCCCATGTAACGGCAACTCAGCCTAGAGATAGAGCATAGACTCTATGTAGCCTGTCTTCAGAACCAGGCGGCGGCCCGGAGCTTGTCGCGAAAACTTATGCGGGTCGGAAAATGTAAAAAGCATTAACGGCTAAATAAATGCGCATAATTTGGCTACCCGCCTGCACTTTACTTTGACATGATACTCGTACTAAAACAACAACAAGGCAGTCAATGATAGCCAGTCGCGCCAGCTGCCACGCCCAATTATTTGCATGAATATTTTCATGTTTGTTTGCAAATATGCAAATCTGTTGTGCTGTCCAGGTGTGACAATAACTAGTGCCACAGCTTGTAGCACACTCCAAAGCCATAGTCGGAATTAGATCCCAGAAAACAGTAGGCATCCCCGTGCTCCCAGCTCAGACATACTTAAATACCATAAAGTTCATTTAAAACGCAACTTTTGGGCTTATTTCAAGTTAGACGACATTGAATGAATTCTTAAGTTTTCAAGAAACTAACAAGTTTTCTTTAGCAGAGAAATATTTGCTGGCAAATTTGAAACGGCGACCTCTCCCTTGTTAGTTCGAAGCCAGACAAAAATAAACTCAAAATAAATGCGCAGCAATCCCAACGCTGGCTATATCATATTTAAATTCTTAGGAAAATAATCTTTGCATATAAATCCATTTTAAAATTGAAGAAAGCACTTTCTGGACATCTGCCCTAACTTTGTCCGCCCTGCTCAGCTAAGGCATTAATATTGCATGACAGACGAGGACCTTACCTGTTATGAACATGAAAAACTGCTTTTGCTGTTGCTTGACTGTACATAATTTATTCTACACCATGTTCAAAGAACATTCATCTATCACAAAGAAAAACTAGAGAAAACTTTTTGGCAGCATGTCACAAGTTTGTGAATTCATCATAAGGCCAATCACAATCAACCAAAGGCCCAAATAAAGCAAATTATAAATGCCAAACTAAACCAATTGCATGCATATTTCACATTTGAACTAACATATTTGCTGAAAATACCATTTCCCCAACCTGGCCTACAAACATTTTCAATGTTAGCCATAAAAATGTGAATTGCGGCACAGGTATGAAAATTGTGCAATAAAAATAAAAGGCAGTGGATGGGTTTGATTCCGACTCAGACAGAGCACGCACATCTAAAAGTCAAGCCATGAGACTGTCAACAGTCTCTGGGAGCTGGGAGTGTGAACCGGAGGCTGTCTTGAGGCAGCACACAACACATGACTGGAATACGTTAAAGACGACAGCTTGGAGTTGTCATCCGGCGGTCGCCCCCCGCCTGCCGCATGCTGTGAGCTGCTGCGGCTAGACACGAACAGAGAGCAGGCAACAGGCAACAGGCAGCAGGCGGCAGGCGGCAGGCGGCGTGCCGCAATGAAATAATAAGTTCCGTTACAGGCATTGTAAATTCTTTGCATTGCATGCCACGACACAGAGCCAAGATGAAGACATCTGCAGTCGGCGTCGGGCAACCCAATGGCATTGAGTCTACAAGACCGCGACCCAGCCTCCAACTGCTGCATCAGCTGCGGCTGCAGACTCATTATCAATCATACGCACTGTATGCGCGTACTTGGCATCAGCTTTTAATGACTTTTTCTTGCGCGACGCAAAAACCAAAGAAGAAGGAAAAAAAACTTTAAAAGGCAACGCATAGTCGTAACTAGTTTTCTTTTAATTAACTCGCATATAAATGCCAAGTCTGACTGGCAACCGGTTTGCTTTCTAATTTCTTTTAGCTTTTCCCACATACTAGCACAATTGTTCAGGCACACTCGCACATGCATGTATGCACGTGTACGTGTGTATGTGTGTGTGCCAATTCTCTAATTTCCTGGCAATGAGAAAAACAACGCCACAAATCATCAAGATATAAAGACAGAGTTTTATATGTTATCTTTCTTTTTTTTTTTCTCATCAAGATGGAAAACAAAATAAATTGCATATGCGGGCTATTTCTGCTAAAAATGTGCATTCTGTGTAGATTTTCGTGGAACGATAATAAAAACAAACTTCATATGCGGGCCAGAGAAAGTAAATCGCTCATCTTTGGCTGGCTAAAATAAGGAATGGGTCTTTAGAGGTTTAACGAAAAGAGTTTGTGCATTGCAGAATAAGAAATATTTTTTTAACAATTTTGAATGAACAATTTATATTGAATGTTTCATTTTTTTCTAAACCAAAAATGTATAGTTTTATAATTGTAATAAGCTCGTATTTCGTTCTGCTGACATATTTAATTTTCTGTTTGCAAATGAAATTAAATAGTTTTTACTAGAAGTCCAGCAGCTGGCATCAAGCATTAGTTTATTTAATTTTCAGCACAATTTTCGGCGTAACTTTCGGTTTATGTTATCAAGAACTGACAGACTTTAATCAAGTTAGGGGCACAGTCAAAAACTGTTGCCTGCTTTGTGGCGCACAGCATTGTGGTATCATAATAATTTTGTGCCCAACAGTTGTTGCCATTTGATATTACACCTACATATACTATTTGCACACATTGTCTTGGCCAAAGAAAAAAAAGAAAAGAAAACCAATTGAATTTTTTTTGACTTGATCTCAGAAAGCAAACAAAAAGAAACTCATGAAACGGCACAATAAATGCTAAATGTTGTACGTGACACAGACACACACATGCACACACACACACACACACACGGGGGGGTCATATGAGGCTGCTGGATGGCTGAATGGGAGGATTGAAGGTTGGGTGTATGTGTTGCAGAGAAACGCTGACATCTCTGGCTTAAAAATGCTGTCATGCGTTGAGAGACTTTTGTTGACGGCGGCGTTGACTTTATACGTCAATTTTCGTCGTTGTCATACATAGACGTGCGGAGTTTTTCCGTTTATGGCAGGCAAAGGAAAAACAAACATTAAGTGCAGACGAGTGCCAGTCGGAACGCTGACGGTTCGCTGCTTTCACTCTGCCTAAAATGCCATTTTCTAGTCAGCAGCACAACACTCTCACGTCAAGTTGTCGTCTGCCAGCACCACCATCAACATCACCATAACCGCCACCAAAAGCACCACCAAAGGCAGCAGCAGCTAAGTCAAACTCAAATCCAAAGGCAGGTAGGTGTTGGTGTTGTGGAAACAGTTTCATCATCATTATTATTGCTATTATCATTAGAGACCCCCCGCAACGCACGGCGCATAATTTTATATTAATACACTCACAGAAGGTGTTTGAATTTTATGCCAAAACGTGTACAAGATTATATATTACTCATAATTGAAACGAACTAATAGACACAACAGCATTGTATCTCTTAATTTCGAGTCTATGCTAAGGTTAACTTACCACAAATGCTTCTTTCAAGCGCAGACTGTAACTAAGCCAGCTAGATCGAATCAGTATATCATATATGTTAGCTATCATACGAATTACATAAGAAACTTTTACTTTTACTTGAGCCGACTAGTCAAAAGCTGTTCATATTTTATATATTTTAGTTGAAATCTGAATATTATATTTAAAGCTGGAGACAATTGAGCGAAAAGCGACTAGTTTTTTCTAAAAAATATTGCCTAAAGTAAACCCACATTAGATTAATGTGAATTTAAACAATCAATTTGGTTAGTATGCTTTCATAGTGTATTTGGTCTTTGGCATTGTAAGGAAAGATTTTCTCTTTTCTTAACAGCAGCACTCATGTGGTGTGGTTTTTGCAATTTTGTCGCCCCACAGAGCCGTTTCTCGTGGCGTTCAACAGAAATCCAATCAGTCAAGAGTTTTAAGTTTACTCACTTCACTCAACATGTGTGCGCGAAATGCTCATTAACACATTTTAATTGCCCGAAAAAAGGAAAATGAGTTTCCAGTTGTTTACTTGAAGTTGCAATGACACTTGCTGAAAACTTTTAGATAAGCTTCAAGTTAGGGAAGTTTTAGCGAAGTTAAGACAACAGTAGATCAGTTAAATATTCAAAGAAATATCAAAGAAAAGTACTTTTAAAGCTTTAAGTAAAGCTCTCAGTCTATATCTAAAAGAAAATCCGTTTACTAGAAGGTTTAAGAGACGGCAATGAATTTTAAAAGCTTTCATTTACAATTCGTAGACAGACTGTAAAGAATTT